ATAATAAGATTCAACTAATGCTAATGAAATTGCAGACTTTTATGTGCTATTATTTTTTAAAAATCTGCACAACATTTTGATAAATATCAGTAATATTTCAGTTATTAATCCTTATTCTCTGTTCATTTCTCCACCTTTAACTCAACTAACCTAGATGACCTAGTCTCCACCTACAACAATGGTCTCACCAACATCCTCGACTCTCTTGCTCCTCTTAAAACCCGTTCTGTCTCCTTCTCCACTTCTGCTCCATGGTTCACCTCAGAACTTCGCTCCATGAAAACACAAGGTYGCAGACTAGAGCGACTCTACAAGAAATCAGGTCTTACAGTTCACAAAGAGATGTACATAGAACCACACCTTACAGTACAAAGAAAGTATTGCTCAGGCCAAATCTAACTACTTCACTGACATCATCAGTTCCAATGTAGGCAACACACAGACTCTTTTCTCTCTCCTTAACCGCACAGTTTCATCTCCGAACTTTCTACCCCCCTCACATGCTTTCAACTGACTGCTKYAACTCCCTCATTTCATTCTCCAATGAAAAAATCCGCTCCATACACCAACACCTTGGGCCAAACTCTGCCCCCAACATCTTTATAGAACTCCCACCCCCCCTCCATCCCCCTCTCTGTCTTCACTCTCCCCTCTGCTGCTGATGTCTCTGCCATCATTAGGAAGTCCAAATCCTCCTCCTCCCAGCTAGATCCCATCCCCACAGCTTTGGTTAAATCCTGTCTACCCTCTCTGCTTCCTGTCACCACTAATGTCATCCACTCCTCTCTGATGACTGGTACTGTTCCCACAGCTTTTAAATCGGCTGCCATCACCCCCATCATAAAGAAAACAGGTCTAGATCCGACTAACTTCAATAACCTCCGTCCCATTTCGAATCTGCCTTTCATCTCCAAAATCTTTGAAAAGGTCGTCACTAATCATCTTCACTCACACCTCTCAAACAATAACCTCTATGAACAGTTCCAATCAGGTTTTCGACCACATCACAGCAACGAAACTGCTCTTATTAAAATTACWAATGATCTTTTCCTTGCTGCTCACTCAGGACTTCTGTCAATACTCATCCTCCTCGATCTGAGCTCTGCCTTTGACACCATCTCTCATCCTATCCTCATYGACAGACTAACCTCTATCGGCATCTCAGACACCCCACTGGACTGGTTTAAATCATATCTTTCTGACTGCACTCAGTTCATACAGCTCAAGTCCTTCCATTCCCAGTCTTCACCCATYTCCASYGGTGTTCCCCAAGGTTCTGTACTCRGGCCTCTACTTTTCATAATCTATCTGCTCCCACTTGGCCACATCTTCCGTAAATTTGGTGTTCATTTCCACTCTTATGCCGACGACACTCAACTCTACATTTCGACAAAACCGAACTCAAGATGTTTATGACGTTCAGCCCTTAAACATTTGCACTTAGAATTTTATAGAATCACTTTAAATACTTTTCAGTAAGTTAAATGTCTACAATTCTGGTTCAAATAAAGAACTTCATGTTTACTAGATTGTTAACTAATTATTTTTGAGTTAATGTTGCCTTAATGAACAGTGATTAAAAAACTAACCTGTAAAACTCTGATGTTAAATGCGACGTGGTTGAAAATTTGGGTGCACCTAACTTTTGTGCTGGTGCGCCTAAGAAAAAATGTTAGGCGCACCGGTGCAACCAGTGCAAAAAGTTAGTCTAGAGCCCTGTACAGAATGCTTGGATTTACAGTATATATGGTAAAAACTTGTAGAAAGTACAAAGTAAGTTTGTTTGCACAAATTGTTTAATAAAAACTTTAAAGAGGAAAACAATTAAAGATATATGTAGGGAAATTTGTGAAAAAATAATGATAATTCTACAATGTTCAGTCAAACTCTGCTCCAGATGGACTTACATAACTGAGGAGATTCGAACTGCCCCCAACTGTTACATTCAAGTTTCTAGTCAGATTCCTAGTTTTAAAAAGACACTGTGTAGGAGTAATGGGCAAAGATAAGCATATCATCAGCTCTCACAGAGGAGAGGAGGGCCACCAAACTAAGATTCAATATCACATGTTAGCTTAGTGTATCGACACGCAGCGAACATTGGATTTGTGTAGCGGCGTCTGACTGTAGATCCTAAAAATAGATGAGAGATGGCTGAGGGTGCGGGAGCAGCTACTGCACCTTGTTGGTCTCTGCGCTGACGTGACTCTGGGTGTCTTTGAGACGAGAGATGGAACTGTTGCTGAGACCGCCCACCACAGCCATCAGTGTGTTGAAATTCTGCAACTGCAGCAGCTTCTGTCAACAGAAAGGGCAGAAAACAGACGGCGTTTAGAAAGGTGTACACCTCTGCCTGAAGCAAGATGGTCAAAAAAGATTTTAGACAAAGTATTGTTGTTTAAGGGACAATTTTATTGAATCTGGGTTGTAGGAATAGTTTGTTAATGCTCCAAAGACTAAAAATTAATACTTTAGTAGAATAAAGGCCTTGTGGTCTTTAAAGAAATGCATATGACCCRCTGTTTTTCATGCAAGAGTTTTACACTATGATTAGTTTATAATATGCTGAGACAGAGTTGCAAAAAAAAGGTATGATGTTTAGCTCTTACAGTTTGTTAGGGATGTCTTCCAGCAACAACCAACCCAAATCTTTGCTCAATACATGTACTTTTGACTAGGGTACAGTCATTTATGTGTTCGCTAATGCCGGGTTCACATTGCAATATAATTATGCCGATTTTTGGCCCAATTTTGTTGTTCGGACAATCTTAGGTCATATTCACACCTGACAGTCTAGTAGACTCGATTCAATTGGGGACCAGAACTGCAAGATTTGTTGACATTTTCAGCTTGTGTGGTTTGCATTCACACTGTACTTTGTTAAACAAAACAAACCCTGTGAACAACCTGTAATAGAATGTGTTGTGTACTCCTCCAAGTTACTACAACACCAAATGTTAACTCTGTATCTATCAAATTATTTGAGATATACTGTAGGCTGTGTCCAAATTCAGCAGCTGAGTCCTCCGAAATTTCAATTGACAAAGTTCGATCTATTTTTACTTCTTTTTAGTGTCGTCACGTTAGCTAGGTGACAGGATGTACACTGGGGTAAGGGCGGGAATAAAGCAGAAGGCTAGACCATCTAAATTCACAGACTTTTTTCCGGTCTTCGTAATCGACCAAGGACCCGGCCCACCTATGTTGGGTTTTTCTAAGGATCCAGTCCTGAATTTGGATACAGCCATAGCATTTTTATGTTTGTAAAAATGGCCTAGCTGTGGTGGACATCTTGACATAGCTTGACTCTAATTATTTGGTTGTAGATGTGCATCCAGTGAGAGTTTTATTCAAATCCATCATGTGGTTCATGAGATATTTTGCCAACAGGCAGAGAAACGAACACGCACACAGAGACATTTTCACCTCTTCGTATTTGACAAGCGAGAAATATCTGCACAAGAACAAATATTTCTATTTAAATAACCCAAAGTTTTATTGAAAGTTCTCTCTTTTCTGTGTTAAAGTTAGCCTAACTCTTAATGAATAGCTCTCTACAGGGTTCCACGCTGCCCTTCAGCCTGCTGGCATCTCAGTGAAAATCAATGGGGTCTCTGTTGCATGGGAGGGCTGCCACGGGGGATCATTTGATCCAGCTCAAACACCCTCAGGAATCAATCTGCAGAGCAGCCCATCGTTTGCAGAGCACAGGATTTATCTGTATCACACCAGCAAACAACCGTCAATGAGGCCTGGCTTCATTGTCAGGTCCTCCCAGCGGGGTGGCAAACAAAAATCTAACGACGTGTGACGGGTGGGGATGGTGGGTGACATGGATTGGTTATTAAAGACTAAAAGAAACATTCACAGGGAGCATAAAGTGAGATGAATTGGATTTGAGCTTTTTATTGTGACAGAGAGCAGCCTTTGGAATCATAATGCTAGTTTACAGTCAAGAAAATAAGCGCAAGGTATTTATAATGTGCCCCCACCACCACCCACCCCCATCCCTTAGGAAGCTGTTATGGGACACAAGCAGCACACGCTGAGGGAAGCTTTAGAAATGTCAAGTACTTCAGGACTACCTTCTGTGCTGCCTCTGAATACATTTAAAACCAGCTTTGGTTTATATTTTGTTTGTCCATGCATGTAAATACACAGAACTACAACAACAGCAATGAGATTAAGACGGCACACTCTGTCAGTTCTAATGCTTTACACATCAGGGAAGAAYAACAGATAGAGAAACAGCATTTTGTGTGAAAATGAGCACCGAATCACTCCGAATTTTTACAGAAGCAGCTGAAACTGTGTTTAACCCTAAACTTAAAAGAAGCAGAACAATAGCTAAAATTTACAAGGAGTAAAACATGTTTAAAAAACAAACTAAACTTATTATTGTCTGCTCCAGTATCAAATAACCATATGTTTGCTCCTTCACTAACGGACTCTGTTTTCAATACTTGGGAGTTCAAAGGGAATAACTTCTCTAAATGATCTTTATATAGACAATAAGTTCGCCTCATTTGAACAGTTAGCACAGAMATTTGACATCCATAAGTCACAGTTCTTCAGGTATTTACAACTGAGACATTTTATAATGTCAAACTCTGGATGTTTTCCTCTACGCCCCCCAACTTCTCTTATAGATGAGATTCTGATGTGTAAGTCTGTAACAAAAYGCTCTATGAGCAGAGTTTATTCTCTGCTCAGCTCATTTTCTGACTCCAATTTAGATTTTTTGAAGGGCAAGTGGGAGATGGACTTGGAGGAATCCATATCAGACACAGTTTGGCAAAAAATTATTCAAAATATATATTCGTCCTCAATATGTGTGAAACATATTATAGTTCAATTCAAGGTAGTACATCGTTTACACTGGTCTAAGGAAAGATTGTGCAAATTCAAAARGGACTTGGATCCGACGTGTGATCGTTGTAAACAATCTCCTGCCACACTTTTACACACATTCTGGTCCTGTCCAAAGTTACATGGATAYTGGCAAGGCATCTTTGATACCTTTTCAGGACTATTTGGACGAACTGTTCATCCATCACCACTCATTTCTCTCTTTGGGGTGGCTCCAGCAGAAGCTTCCCTCAGTGAACATCAGAGGACGGTGTTAGCTTTCTGCTCTCTACTGGCTAGAAGACTTATTCTTCTTCGATGGAAGGATCCACATCCTCCAGTATATGGTCATTGGTTAAGAGAAGTTATGTCTTACATTCATTTAGAGAAGATTAGATATACTGTTAGGGGATCTGTAAACAAATTCTTTGACATCTGGCAGCCATTTATATCTTGTGTAGAAAAAATTTCGGCAGATAATTTTGTGTAAAGGTTAAATATTGTTTCATTATACACAAACCTGTTCATTGTATCATTTGCTGAATACAAGATCGATTTTTGCTATTTCAGTGGATCCGGTATAGGAGGGGAGGGATGGGAGGGATTTTGGGAGTGTGTGTGTCTTGTTTTGTGTTTTTGCGGGTCTGTTCTTTTTTGTGGTTTGTTAAATTTTTTTTAATAAAAAGACTTTCATCAAAAAAAATAACTAAACAAAGCAAAGACTAGCTAAAAGCCAAAAAAAGTGAAACATTTAACAAAAGCTAAAAATTGCAAAAATGTAGGTAGAAGCAAAAAGTAGCAAAAGAATCTCTAAAGGCTAAARTAAGCTAAAAGTTAGTTAAAATAGCAAATGATTATCCAAAACCCAAAAGTATGACAGGGCAGCTAAAAGGGCAGAACAATAGCCAAAAGCCTAAAATGGCAAAAGGCTAACTTAAAGTAGCAAAGCAGTAACTTAAAATTAAAGCAGCATAAGAAAACATAAAAAGAGTGAATGTGCTGAAGGAATTTTCAGAGAAAAATATTTGTGCAAGAATTGAAGAGTTCTTCATAGGGAAATTTTGACAATAAAACTCAACACTGAGCAGTATAAAAGTTACAAGAAACAAAACAAAGCACCCATTATTGAGCTAATGGTTTGATGCATGAATGGCTGAAAAAAAATCAGACAAACAAAAACAAATTAGAAAACTACTGAACTAGAAAACGTGTGAATGCTGAACCAACATTGTATCAAATTGTAATCCAGGTTCTAAAAGTACAAAAACAGAAAAACAGCTAACTTTGAGAATACTGAAAATTCAGAAGTTGTTGGCAGCAGAAATCTAGATATGTTGTTTTTAATTTCTAAGATGTGCAAATAAATAGATAAATAAAAAACTAGAAAACCCAAGTCCACTTTTGCTGCTCTTGCAGGATTGACGAGTGTTAGTATCAGTCAGGTGCTGCTTATCGAATGTATTAAATAACTGGAACAAAATGTTCTTTGAACAGATGTCATGGTAGGAGAAGAACAAAACAGAAAACAGACCTTATAAAAGTGATAAGCACAGGGCTGATGATTCGGCTCCATGCATTCATGTGAGAAATGGAAAGGATCCTACAGAAAACTTCTAGCCGTACACTACTAAACAAGTTTCTATATTCTGTTGAAYCATGTGGCGGATTTTGTTTTTAACACACATTTTCTATTTTGGTTTCATCTTTGTTTAACAAATATTTGCACAGTGAGGTCTATTCTGTGTTTGTGTACTTGTATGAGGTGACATTTGAATAATTTTAGAAGCAGTACAAAATAGTATATTGCATTTATTATGYCCTCATATGTAAACCTTTAAACTGACAGAGGTTGTATTTTTCCCATGACTGTACCAAGTGAGAGAATCCTCCACAGACATCATCTAGAATCCTAATTGGTTGTGATACAGTATTCACACCCAAAACAAATCATAATCACAAACACAGTTAGGTGTGATCCTGGGTTTATGTAATTTTAGAAACCAGAAGCTCAACCAAGCGTAGCCAAGTGTAACAGAGTGCAGCTTTAAGAACAATCAACACAGAAGAAATTGGGGGTGGGGGTGGGGTGGAGTGAGGGGGTTAGCAGCTGGTGACTTTTGGTACAGGCTAAAAAGAAAAGTTGAAACATGAAATGAAGAAATTCAAGCAGAGAAAGTAATGTGGTGTTTTCAGGCCTTGATTTGACAAAAACAAGAACAGAAAGTACAAATTTAGCATAACGAACTTTAAAAGTACAAATCGCTGTGTCTGTGTGAATCTGTCCTCAGGCACAACAAAAGTTTAAAATGCACACATCTGCATGGTTTGATAAAAGGTGGGTTGTTTGAACTAAATAGCATCAATTATATTTTTCCACTTTCAGCAAAACCAGTATCAAGACGAAACTGTCATGTTGCTGAAATGTTTCCTGCATTAAAACACAAGACATC